CTGGCTACTTAACACCTCAACTTGGATGCTTTAGAAGCACCGTCAACTTGACTTGTCTAAAACTCAACTTTGCCACCTTTGTTCCCCCTGTGAGGGAAGGACATTATCGTCCACACAGCCCAGTTGGCCAAGCCACACAGTCATCCATCCTTTACTCTTCTTGTTTCCACACCTCTTCATCTAATCAATTAATCATATTGATTAAATACATCTCAAGCTTATCTGCTTTCTTTTAAAACACAGATCTGAGCATTGTAGTCCTTCTTTAATCACATTTAATATATTCTATTGTCTTTAGAATCAAATCCATACTTTTTAAATTGATTTAAGAGGCCTTCTCAATCTGCACCTTTTTACCTTTCTACCTAATGTCTCCTCTCCTCTGCACCACAGCAGGCTGCACAGTGAATGATATTTGGCTCACTGAACACAGATACTGTTCTTCAGGGCTTTGTATTGCTTCTGTCCTCTTCACAGAGTTAGTGCCTGCTCATCCTTAAGGTCTCAAGTAAATGTCACATGCCCCATATGTTTTTCCACATAACCTCCTATGATAGCTCTTCGGAGATTTAATTTTAATTGACCATTTAAAGATTTTTCTACACCAGCCAACCGTAAGTTCTGGGAGAACATTTTCGTCCTTCTAATTAACCTCTCTATATCTACATATGCCACAGTGCCTAGAACATAGAAGGCATGCCGTAAATATTTTTGAGTGAATCTATTCTTGATGTCTCTTTCTCCTCTATCATTCATCCTTATATCTACTGCATTCTGCTTTCCATTATTAAATTGCTTTTCTTTAAGAGGCATTGGTCTGCTTATTTGTAAAGTACATTTTGTAGTTTGTGACTAATTTGACTTCTCTGCAATGCATGACATCATTCATTCGCCCATCCATCTATCCACGTTGAACTTACTCACTGTGTTCTTCTGGGAACACCATTGTCATTAGTTTCCGTGATACGTGTTTTACTGAGTTTTCTCCTACCTCTTTGACTGTTCCTTCTCAGTTTCTTATTTGGAGTCTCCTTTGACTATCTCCCTTCTTACATGGTGCCCTTCTTAATGGCACTTGAGAGTCATTCTATGTGGTACTTTTCTATACATTCTTTTTACTCTTTTCAAGGGATTTCGACTCCTACCTATACATTAATAGTTATATCTCCAACTTTATGTTTTAACTCTTATCTCTCCTAAACTACAAGTTCATATTTCTGATTACATGGAGGACAGCTTCACATGCATAGTCCTCAGATACCTCAAATATTACATATTAAAAATGAATTCTTCATTTTCTAATTGATCATCATTTCTAATTTTCCTTTTCTTTTTCTTTTTTTCAATCTTGATAAAACTTAGCCTAGTGTCTTATCCATATTGGGAGCTAAATAAATATTTTTCCCTTTTGAAAGAAATGAGGAAGGAAGGAAAGAGGAAATGGAGCAGGAAAAGGATGGAAAGAGGTAGAAACAGGAGTTAATAACAACTAACGTAG